CAAACCCACCCTGCCTTTCCTAAACATGGACGCTGGCATGGCAAGAAATCATGCACCTCAACCTACATACATACATACATACATACATACATGGTAGTTTCCCAAAATTAGGGGTACCCTCTTGGGGGTCCCTATAATAAGGACTATAGTATTTTGGGGTCTATATTGGGGTCCCCTCATTTTGGGAAACTACCATTTCTCATACTTCCAGCTAATGCTGATATGTAACGTTCCTAGTATACACCTATCGCCCTCAGAAAATGCAGGTCAGCAAATGATTCACTGATGCTCCCACATTCAAGTGTTCTGTTCACTACAAGTGGTGGGCAGGGTTGCGAGCAAGATGCGCAAAAGCTGTGCTGTGGAACTTTCGCCCAGGTGATACATCATGCAACTGCCTCGGCATCACCATGGACTCGGCAAATTTGGCACGAGCTGGTCTCAGTGCCAACTATGCGAACTATGGGCAGCAATGTGCTCCCCATGATGCCGACATCTGCGAGATCACGTACCCTAGAGCAAACCACGACATGTGGTGTTGCACTTCCTGGTGCTGGGTGGATGCAAGCTGTCCCACCTCGCGGGCATCTACGGTATGGTCGGCTCCTTAAATCTCATCGGGTCGTAACTGTAGTCAAGGTGGTAATGCGTTAAACGGTCCTTGCTTTATGTGATATGCACGTGTCAAGTCATTTCTTTACTTGTAGCAAAGTGCTTGGACACTCATGTGTTCCAGTTGCATCCTGGAAAGGCCGGGCCATTTCTGGAGTACAGAGTCATGTGAACTGAATGCTGACGTGGTGTCGGGCTGCAAGTACAACTTGCAGGCCTGTGCATGCCGCGGACAGCTTTTTGCCCAGTTTAGGCTTCAGGGTTTGGTTGTGGGTTTAGGGTTTATAGATTCTGCAAGGCTTTTAGGGTTGAGGGTTTAGGGTTAGTTGAGGGGTTATAGGGCTCGTGTATACAAGTGATCTTTAGGAGAAGGGGTACCCTAAATCCTAATCCCGAAACCCTGATCCCTAAACCGCATATGGCCCTATATAACCCTACATATCCAAGATAGTCCCTATATGGCTACCAAGGCTACCAACTGGATCTCTGCCGGACTCCTTTGCAGCCAACTACGGAAGCTCTTGCAAGGCTTGGGATGACACCTCCTGCAAGGACACTTGAGGGATTATATAGAACCCTAAACCCTAAATAGGGTTTGGGGTTTAGGGTTTAGGGTCTAAACTCCTAGAGGGGTCATTAGGGGGGATAGTTGGAGTTTAGACTCTAGCTCGCTTGGGTTCCCCTTTTCGGGTTTAGAGTCTAGGGTTCTACGCCTTTCATGCTGGTTCCCCCTTAATGGCTTCAATTATCCCTAAATGTAGGGGGTAGTAGGGGAATCCATGAACCCTAAACCCTAAACCCTAAACCCTATGAAGGACACTTGGTACCACAATCCAATTGGTGAATGGAACACCTCGGCTAACCATGAATGGTGTTGTGATGCCTGGTGCTACTGGGTTGCTGTTAAGGAACTTGAGTTAAGGTACCATAATGGGTTTAGGGTTTAGGGTTTGGGGTTTAGGGTTTAGGGTTTGGGGTTTTTGGTCTAGGGTTAAATTAAGTTACCATAATGGGTATATATAGTAAATAATAGGGTTTCCCCAATATAGTAACTTAAATTAAGTTCCTTAACAGCAACCCAGGTTATGTCAACGAAAGTTGCCCTATTGCTGCTTGGTTGCTTTTGGGGAACTTAAAGCAAATTACCAGAGCAGGGATGTATAGCAAATACGATTCCTCATAGTAGTATCTTGATTCCAACCCCTCCGAGTCCCTGTGTGACCAGATTTTCCACGTCATTCTCCAATTCTCCATATGATTTCCATGTGATTCTCCGTCATGGCAACTGAACCCTACACTCAATATACCCCTTATAGAACCCGTACATATGCCCATATCATGCTTATAGCCCCTTTTTGAGGGAACATTATTCTAACTATTTAGGCGCCTAGACCCTGAATCCTACATTCCCCTAGATTTCAGTATGTATCCTCATAGCGTATCCCTATCTACAGTTTAGGGTTTAGGGATTAGGGTTCTTGTGTATCCCTATCTAACCCATGCAACGGGCCCCTCACAGCAACCCAGGCCAAACAGTCCTGGCTTGGCATAGGCTTTTACTTCAGCTACGAGACGTGCAACCTGGATTAACATCGGTCTAGACAGGTCTAGGGCTTAGGGTCTAAAGAGCTGCAAGTATCTAAGAAGCAGAATGTGTATATTGCAGAAGCCTGAAAATATTGCCATGGCTAATACTGGTCGCCAACAGTCCCCCGCATATGAGCAGCGGCATTTAGTTAAGTAAGGCAGCAGAAGACTAGCGTCGTTGGCTTGTTCCTGTAAAGCCAGCAATTTTCCTGTTGAATTACACAGGGATTGCGGATTGAACGAGATAGGTCGAGTTATTGCAGGCGTATGTGAGTCGTCATGTTCTGAGATTGCGGAATTGCGGACCACATCATAGAATTGCCCGCAAGAAATACGATAAAATGCATGGTGAACGAAACGGTGCACCACGAGTTCAACATACAGTCAACAGCCAGTACTTGCTCATATGTCTATATAGCACAACGAGAAGTAACCGAAAACCTTGTTCTACGTATTCATAGTCCAAAAGCAAGGTTAGTGTGAGGCCTTGCCACGGGGCTTCCGGCCCGTAATGCTAGCAGCACGGCGACATCTTTGTCCCAAACAGCTGAACACAGACGTTTAGTTTTGTAGATATACACACACATATATATATACCCACCTACCAGTCGAAATTTTCCAGAGCATTCTTAAAGCTCCAATCTGATTTAGGATGTCCAAAGCAGAACTTCAATCATCGGATGTCTCCTGGTAGCGCCTGTATGAAATACAGTTCATGTTCGATTCAACAGACCCCACACGGTTCCTCGGCAATGAGGCGATGATCCTCCCGCGACCTACAATGAAGGGACGGACACATGTGATGCGGTCAGTCGGAGGCTTGAGGATGAGAACGAGCTCTCGCTGATTGAAGAAAGTGAGCCCTCTCCTCGCCAGTTATCCGCTCGGAGGAGAGGTGGCAGCAGTTGGGGTGGTGGCTTCAGTAGCCCCCGCAGGCGCTCGCCGCCAGCACCTCCGACCAATCCGCGCCGGAGATCCTATTCTGCACCCTCCGCCTGGAGCCCACGCCGGCGAGCTCCAGTTACGCCCAGGCGCCGTGACGTTCGACGACGAGCACCTCCTCCTCCAGTGCCGGCTCCGGTGAACACACGGAGAAGGACCACCAGCATCAATGGGCAAACCTACACAACCAGCCCACGACGCCGTGTCAACGGAGCTGTAATGCCGGCTCCGACCCCATATGGCTATGCTAGCCGCCCACAACTCATGAACAACTATGGGGGCACCATGCCCTATCAAACCCCTTATGGCTATTCTGGCTACAATGCTGTGCCTGCACAGTCGCGGCCGAATGTTGCTATGTATGCTGTGGGCGGTGCTGTGGCAGGTGCTGTGGTGGGTGCTGGAGCCATGTATGCTTACAACAGCATGTACGGCGATGCCTATGGATATGATGTCTTCCGAAGGCGCCGTTTCCACGACTTCAGGAATCCGGATTACTGCATTGTGACAGCTCCAGGGAGTCGGAACGGGGCTTTCATGGAGTGTGACCAGTGCTATCGACTCTACGGTGCAAGGCTCAGACCAGCTGAGTGGCATGTAGAACCCCAACTTTTCAAGCCTAGGAAACACTGAAGTTTCTGGGGAAACCAAGGTTACTCCATGTGCCCGTCTGCGCGGTCATGCAACACACCGACTGGATGCGCCTACACAACGCCGCAGTCATTCAACCGCGATGATCTCGCCGCCACAGGCTTCATTCCCAAAGAGTACGCGCCACCTTTGAAGGTGCTCTTCAAGAGCATCAATGGTTCCGGCATTGATACCGATCCCTTGACAGGAATATGTCCACCAACTACCAGGGAACAGGCTGAGTTTGTGGAGAGCTTCAACAAGACTATGTCCTTCAAACCAGACCTTTTCCTTGTCCTCACGCAGCAGCAGACCCTGAGGTCAGCTGCACCTTCGGGGTGTGACAGCGACACGAGTACTGCGTGCACCACTACATGCTGGATAGCCCATAGCACTTGTGTGAACGGGGCGTGTATGTGTCAAAGTGGATATTGCTGGAACGGAAATGTTTGTTCACCACCGGGGTCCATGGTCAGCGCAAGCTACCAGCTTCCCGAGTGGTTTTCTGCATTACTTGCACTGTATATCTTATCTCATTGGATGATCTAAGTAGCAGGCATGCTGCTGAGATGTCAGCTCTCACAGGGCGTCTGCAAGCTGCGATCGATCAGCGAGATGTCAGTCTGCGTCAAGTTTGCTTGCTCACGTAGTGAGTTGAGTGAACACCTCCGGCATGAGGCAGCAGAGATGTAAGCATTTCAATTCTGTGCATGCCTAAAAGACTGTGCAGCTTGTGTAAAACTGTGCTTTGCACGTGCGCATTTCGCACATCCCACCAGTTCAATCAACTCCCCTGATATCAACCCCCCCTTCCCCCCATATGAAATATTCCCATTGTTGTATATTTTCATATGGGTGTATGCATTTTTGAG